ATCATGGGTAGAGGAAAACACAAGGATTAGAAACAAAAGCAAAATTATTGGTCAGAAACAGAACCAGGTGAACCACATGTATACATTATTTTACAGGAAATTTGTGCCTTTATGCTCTTATAATGCTTACCAGAGGGAAGGAGGGGAGAAAGGTGGGAAACCAGTAGTACATGATGCTTCACGCAACTATACTCCCGATTTAAACTATCTGGTTGACATTTTAGAGTACCAAAGGATACAAAAACTTGAGAGTAGGTGGCGTCTTTCTGGCCTAAACTTACATTTTAAGGCTTGGAAAGATTACTTGTCTGAATATAAGGATATGATAGAATCTGTTAGATCCACCTACTTCTCTCACATCATTGAAAATAACCATAACAACCCCAGGTATCTTTTCTCCACCATCAACATTAGCTAAAGTCTAACTGCCCCACCACATTACCTCCCTCTTTCATTCTGTAAAGTGCTTTTATTGAATCTCTGTTGTTTATGTTTATATCCTAGTTGATGCAATTCATCGTTAGTCTTATCTTTTTGAGATTCCTATTCTTGCAGTGAAATAGAACAGTAGTGTTTTCTCTAATGTCCTAGGTAACAGTATAAAAAGGAAAAATAAGGTTAATTAAAATAAAGTTAGGTGACAGGATATAAAAAGTACAACATAATTTTCTTTGTTTTTGAGAAATTTAAAAATAATACTGCAGGCTGCTTTACTGTAATGATTAGATATATTTTTGTATTTTAAGCAACTGAATGCAACAATGTCGCTTTTCACTTTCTTTACCAAAACCAGAAGAATCCCGAAAATGTACTGTAGGACGTCACTGAGTGACGAAGCAAACAGAAGTGCTTTATTAAACTGTTTTTTGTTTGGTTTTTGGAGTGAAGGAAGGGGTGCTGTGTTTAATCAAAAAGTTGGAGGGAGATGATATCTTGACTGTCAGAAAGAAGAAACTGATGTGTGACAACTTGTCAGCTGTGGGATTTTGAATACAAGATGAGGAAGATAATGGTTAGCTATGACGGGGTTCTATTATTTTTAATGAGGTGTGATGCAGAGCGGCAGGGTCGAGTAGGAAGATCAAGTGAAGTCACCATTTTCTATTGAATGTAGTGGCAGCTGTGAATAAGCAAGCTCAAAGACAATTCTTTGTAACCACTGTCATGCATCCAATGATGCATCTTTTAAAAGGTAAATATTTGTTGTCAAACTGTGCTTATATTGAGGGATGTAGGCTTTCCTTCTGGTCTTATATGCCATATCGTTCAGTCTTGTGCTTCACAAATTGCTGGAACTGCTGGATCTACAGTAACTATTTGGCCACCATGAGGGTTTAAACAGTCCTAAATACCATGTCCTTCTACTAGAATGATGTTTTTAACCTGAAAAGAAAAAAAAAAACTTTCAATAGTACAGAAATAAGTACATTTAAATACTTATGAGTTCTTAATTAAACACCCCCTTCTGTCCAGTTTAATGTTAATAATTTCATCATGCAGAAATCAATAGTTATATTTTAATTTAATTTTTTAAGCAATTAAGTGGAAAGTCAACTACTCAATGTCAAAACGATGAACCAAAATTAGAAGTGCTTTTTTGATGTTAAAGAGAACTATCTTTATGCCTTTCCAATAAAGACTTTTGAGCTGTGTGCTGTGTAATAAATGCACATAGTGTTGAGACCCTGAATGTAAAACTAAAACAAAAAGAAATGACTGAAACACCATTTCTGTTTTAGGAATTGTAAAAGGGAAGAAAAAGAAATTAATGGAGAACATGCAAAAAACTGTGATGTCACTAGAAGATAGAAGAAACTCCAAAATGAAAAGAAGGGAAGAGGGAAATTAAATTAAATGTAAGATTAATTAAATTAAAGAGGAGATTATAATTTAAAAAACCTGAGGAACATGAAAAGCAAAAATGATGAAAAATGAAATTAGTCAAAATGATTTCCTACAGTACTATTTCTATATTGCCTTATTAGACAGTGATTAAAATGTGAAAGATATCTGAAGGCAAAGTTGGTAAAAATTAAAAACAGATAACTTAACCTAAGGCTTCTTACACTGCCTGTGTAGTTTTTGTTATTATTTATTATTAGTACTGAATCTACTTTTAAGGAACTCAAATTACATGTTCATGTTTTATTGGGATGTGTTAAAGTAATCAATCCTAAAGTTAAATTCAGGAATTGTGGTAATAAAGTGTTATTTAGTCATTTGTTCATGATTAAATACATTACTGAAGATTTTGGATAACATATGATCTTGCTGGAAGTAAGCTCCTGTACAGATCTACAGTGTATGTTTGTGGTTTAACTGGTTGGATGCAAATACAAGTCTGAAGAGACTTGACACTTTTCCCAGGTACTTTATCATGACACACTATATCTTGATTAACTCCTGCAATGGGGACAATAACTACTGTACCACTACAAATTGAAGGGATTATGTTGATGTTGGTGACAATATTGCTGTATTATCCATCTATCCATCCATTTCTGGGTTGCAAGGGATTCAGAGCCTATCGTAGCAATCATTGCTATAACAATACATTGAAAATCATTTTCAATATGCATTGATCATAATGCAATGTAGTGAGATCAGCAACAACAACAATCCCAGCTTCAGGCTGACATTAATCATCCACTCATTTTAGTGGATTCCATTTACAGTACACATGCCAAAAGAGACATAAAACCAGAAACCAAAATGTTTTTTGATGTACATGGTGGAACATGAGTTGAGTTTTAGATTATTAGTATTCCATTCTATGTTATAGTACATTCCTTGTTTCCATTTTCAAAAGAAAGTTGTTTGCACTTTTTGACTTCCTTATAATCCTGCCTTGGATACATTAAAGAATTTGAATGTCAGTTTCATTAAATATAAATGACTCATAAGGTCACTGCTGGTCAACATTGATATTTTACATTTTTTCAATCAGTTCTGTGACCTATGATCCTGGGCCTCTCAAACCCATTTTGAACTAATTATCTCCAAGAGGCTCAAAAAATCGTGCTGATTTAGTAATTTGATTCTTCTCTAAAATAACGAGCAAGTACAATAATTCATATTCCTGTGATTCACAGCAGCTACCACGGAATGCAAGGCCATTATTTTAAATTATGAAAATAAGTTTCAGAAAAAAAGTTTTTTTTGCATTTCAAAACTACGAAGCTGACGAATCTCATAATTAAAGTTGTCTGTTAGATTGTCACTGTTGAGAATGTGTAAAGCATTTACACAGTTAGTAAATTGAAATAAAATGAAAAGTGTCAACCAAAGTTGGCTAATTTAACACAATAATCCATGTAAGGGGTTCAAGGTGTAATGTCAATTGCTTTGAAAACCTACCACCTTAATGATTAGAAAAACTGTTTCATTTCAATGTTCGGCATTACTTTTCCCTAATTGATACATAATGCCTGAGCAAATTATTGGCGTAATTATAGGATGAAATTGAATTCCTAAACATGTTGTCTTTTAACTATTGAGGTTCATAAGTAACTTGAGATCTCTACATTCCAAGCAATAAAAAGGGTTTCCAATGGTCCAATCAAGCAATGTGGTGGTTCAATTAAAGATTCAATTGAGTAAACAGCACAGCAGGAATGAAAAGCAGCAGATCCAGGGCTGGGAATTTCTGAGAATTATTCACACCTGTCCTATCAAATACTGTTTTCTTATTTTCAGATTCACAAGAAGAAAGAAAGACTGTGCTTGTTTTGTTGCTAGTACCTTTTTACTTTTTTTTTTCTCTGTCTGGTTTTTGATGCACCCCAGTAAATCAGATCTCACAGCATGGTTAAGTAGTTTGTCCCAGCTGGCTCTTTGCTGAAGAATAGTTTTGCAGACCATTCCCATTCAATCTTTTAAGATCTTAACCAAAAAACCATATGATCTACTGTTAATGATTGTATTCTTTTGAACTTTTAACCAATGCATATGTTTCTAACTTTTTGTCTTCATAGATAAGTAAACTTTTTTCTATAGACCTAAATTAAGTCTTGAATAGGAATCTCTTCTGTTCTAGGCTGAAAATGCTCAGTTCCCTTAGTTCAAAGGTATCCAGTCCTGGTCCTGTGAGGGTCAATATGTCAATATATCAGAACAATGGTTAAAGAGGCACATTTATTAGTGTTTTTTGGAATGTTAAAACAATGGTTAACGTAGAGACACATGTTACAAGGCAGGATTCACTGCTGAACAAATCTGCATGAAACATTTCACATGGGAAGCAGGAAACTAAAATGTTAGTCATTTAGTTTGCGTGACAGCATACAGAGGAACTTGTCTTTAATTTTAACTTTGGTCTGTGATGATGTAATAATCTACTTACGAAAGATTCACTACTTGCTATTTGTCACTTCCGCATTTTATATCACTGCAAAGGCAACCTTTTCTCAGTTATACTAATAATAACAATTGGCTCTATCCATTCTGAAGCGTTCCATCCATATCTATGCATATCAATCTTGTGACAGGTTTCTTAACGGCCTTTTCAAATTTAACGAGGACTCCTTCTTTCCTTTTCCTGCTTGGTGTATGCGTAGGAAGAGAAAAGCAATGGAGCGATCAATTTACTTGCAAATTGGGCTCCTCTTTTTCCATAATCTACACTTAACGCCAGCTGACATTTGACCTCTGAGATGTAACGATAGATATGCCGAATGCTCTAATGTGGTCTACACATGTGTGGGCCAGGAAATATGCATCAAATTTGAATCGGAACCAGAAGGGACAAGAAATAGAATCATTAACACTTCGGATTCTGGTCTTAAAAACAAAAGATCATCAAACGATTTGCTTGACTTACAGGAATATTTTTTTAAACATGTTGAGTTTGCCCAAGACCTCATTAAATGCAGGAGCCTCCACAGAGGCAAACTTAGTTTGTTCTTTGGTTTCCTGGCTCCTATTGCTCTTCAAGATTTGTTTCTAAATTAAGAACAGAACAAGACGACCACAGTTTTTGTTACGAGTTCCTTTAAAAGCTACGCTTAAAGAAATACATATACACATGCACAGAAAAACAATTCTTTTAATCTCATTCTCCCCCGTCACCCCATCCTTTTTGACAGATGTGTGGTATTTTGCCTATATAAGAGGCGCTCAAAAATGACAGTTTCTTCACTAGGTACAGCACCTGGCCAGCACTTCAACAGCTTAATTTGGAAAGCTGGGGACAGGTTTCACTTCAAAAGGTAAGGACCCCATTTAAAAAAATACTTAATATTTTTAGCATTTCATTTCCTTTTACTCAAGACTGTTCATTTCTCACCATGTTATCTTCTAAACTACTGTACTACAGGGAAATAAACTAGCAAGCGACACAAAATCCAATAAATTAGAACTGACAAAAATGAAATAAATAACAATCGTTTGGATGGAGAAAAAGAGAAAGATGAAGCCGAGACAAATTATAGTATTGATCCAACAAAACTGAATTGAAAAATGCGCTAAGAAATGCTTGCTGTGCTTTGTCAAGTTCATCATTAAGTTAAACTTTTTAAGTTAGTTGGTAAATAACAGGGATATAAACCTATTTTTATTTATTATTGCATGTCTCATAGTTCTTCTTGAGCATCTTTAACAACAGGAGGTGGGCCAGTGACTTAACATTCTTGATCTTGTAAAATGTTGTCTTTCTCGTTAATATTCAGAGGACCATATCTCACATGCAAAAAGGCTAGAAGTCGTAGGAGAATCATAAAGGCTGAATAATATGTAAAGGGTTTTGCTGACATTTGTTTGCTGCTTTCTGAAGATGAGCTCAGCACACTCTACAACATCCCAGGGAAACAAAACAAACAATGGAAACAGCGTCCATGCTTTCTGTGTTGGGACACAAATACAAATGTAAAAGTAATGCACTCCAAAGTAATATATTAAAGTAAATTATTAAATTGTGTTATTTAGTTTTGATTAAAAAGGTAGCATGTGTTCCCTTTTACATTTTGCATGACCGGTAAGTGCAAATGCATGCATACAGTATATATTATGCAGTATATTGCATACAGTATATAATAAGTGAAGAAAGCTCCACAGCCAAAACATTGTTTTTCCTTTCTTCTCTTTTCAGCAAGGAATAAACCTTTACTTGTTCCTATATTATATATTATACTTTTGGGTTAAGATACATGAGAAAAAAAGTTTATATAACTGATTTAATACTACTTTACTTTAGGAAATAAGTCTTCTCATTGGTTTATGTAAAGGTGCTTATTTTAAAGAAAATTTGTTTTTTACAGCAGTATACAGTAATAGTGCAGTATCACTGAAAAATAATGCACTTATATTACAAGAAACTAACAAATGACTTTGTAGCAAAGCGTTGGGTCACTATTTTAATAGATTATATATTATATCATATTTTTATATATACAGTATAATATAATATTCACATACTGTATACTGAATATAAACTCTATATGCACCTTGTTGGTTTTGAAATTTATTGATATTAGAACTGCTTGTACTTTGGTGAGCTTTGTGCATTTTAGGATGCTTCACAAATGTTCATTTTAGCATCTTATTTTTTAATAGTTTTTATATTTACGTATTTAAACCCTGTTTTAAGGAAACACAAAACACAAAAGCAACTACAGATGAAACAGACCATACTGTGTACACTTCTACAAGAGATTACTGTACATTAAAGTGTTTAGCTTGCTGTCAAGAATCAAAAGAGAAAGAAATGATAAAAAGATGAGGAAACGCACTTCGACAAGGAACAGAAAATATCATATCTTTTGAATTGCTGTGTCAATAGCAATGTTCCAAAGTGCCAATGAGTAAAAGTACTGCTAACTTAGACCTTTCTAGAAGCAAGAATCATGGTATACTAACCAAACCCAAGAACAAATTGCAGGCTTTGTCCAATTCTTCTCCTGCACTGAAATCATAATCCCTAAGTAAATGTGCTTGTTGAGCATTGAAATTGTTAACTAAAATTAAACTAAAAGAACTTCTGAGGATTGTGGAAGATTAGTACCTAATATATAGCTCAACACAGTGAACTGCTTTTAATTCGGATATTTCTTAAAATAAGAGGCAGAGGCACATAACTCTTAGTGATGATATTCTTAGTTTTGAGTACATGTTTTCCATATTCATCTAACCATTTATGTCTAACCTTGCTAGGTGATGTTTAGCAAAGTACATGTGCATTGTTAAAGATGTTTCATAACAACCAAGCAATTTATTGGAATAATACTTAATATTTATTTTTTTCTGATCTATTTAACTACATATTGTTTCTACTATTTAATAGAAAACAATCTAAAGCCTACAGTATTCAATGTTCCTTTTATGTGTCATCCATTCAAAGTAATTACTATTACAGTAATATCGTATTGTGCAATATTAATTATTAATATTGCATTATAGATTTATTAATAATAATTATATTTCAGTCTTCAAAATAAAACTGTAACATGTACAGTATGCCGTCATAAACACCTTTACAGCTCACCTGAATGTAATTGTGCATTTGTAATTTCTTCAAGGCAACCCTGAATACTGTGTAGTAAACTACATATCAGATAATCTGAAACTGTCAAACTGTTAGTATTTTTATCATTTGTTTGTTGCTTTTTCAGGGAAAAGAAAGAATATTACAAGGTACCATATATAATAATGAACAAATGTGAACAATCATCATGGCATGAAAGATTTGGTACCTAAACAAACTGCGAAAATCCACCAATAACATAAAAAAAACAATAACAGAAAAAAGGAAACTAGAGATTTTGAAGAGAAAAGCAAAAGAAAAAGAGAAAAGTTAGAAAAAAGTAGTGAAAGAACAGAAGAGAGAATCCACAGTCTTCAAGGTCTTTCATATGTCTAGGTCGAGTTTTTATGAAGTTTAAAAAGAGCTGTCAGGCAGAATAAAATTTTGGAGTTGAGCCACAGAGTGAATACCTTCTTTTTGTCAAGAAGAAAATTTTTTAAGGGAGAGATTGACATCCCAAGGATACATGAGAACGTTGATTTGCAAATTACAGTAGGCTATTAAAAGTAAATGTAAAAACTGTAATTAATAACATTTTAAGGTATCAAAAATGTATAATTTAAATTATAATATCATATACTAAAAGTAAATTTTAAAAAATGGATAGTCGAATTTACAAACTGTACTGCTACATATGTACAGCTATGAAATCAATTTATTGAGGTGACGCTAGGCCCTGTGTCCATCCTTGCGCCCATTGCTTGCCATGAGAGACTTCGACTCCTCTGCGACCCTGAATTGGAAGAAGCAGTTTGAAAATGTACCGAAATAACACTATATATACTGTACTTAGTATGAAACCCTCTGACCTTCCCTTCACAAGAATGTATCTCTCATTCAATAGCTCAGCCTCTTCACTTGACACACACAAGTCCTCAGTGTCACTCTTTGTTTTGTAGATTATGAAGCCAGTTTCCCCACCTCGCTCAGCATTCCTTTTCCTGGCTCTTGTTGTCTCGACCTTGCTGCCTTCTGGTTACACTCTTCCTCGCCTACGCAGCCTGCGCAGGTAAGGGAGCCACTCAAGAGAGAGCAGGTCATTACTTCTTTTGTTGTGTTTCATCGTGTCTTATAACACAAGTGACTGCTATTGCAAAGAAAAGTGGGTGTTCGGGTGCACTCTGGCCCTTAATCAGTGAGGCAAAAGCATTTTTTCTAACAGCAACCATTTAAAAAATTCACTTCACTTCACACACAATTTATCAAAACCTATTTTTCTGTGAAACCTGTATGCTTAAAACAATGAAAAGCTGATGCTTGAATTACATTGGAATTGATATTCTATGAAAACGCAAAACATAACTAGGAGTATTTATTATTTTGATTTTGATTTTTGATTTTTGTAGAAAATTCAAATCAAACACGTAGCATATACCTGATACAATTTTGACTTGAAAGCTGATACTGAGACAGATTTGAGCCCACAATGTGAGATTATTCAGCAAATATAGCAAATATACCTTAATTTGCATGGGGATTTCTGGTTTAGATGTATTCAGGATACTCATAGTGCAGAGATTAAACATTTGGTTGAAAAAAGGCCTCAGATTGTTAGAAAGCTAAACAGTCTTTCATTCTCTTCAATCTGAAAATAATGGCTTGTATTTTTCATCCACAATTTGCATGTGAGGTGGGTCTGACTTGGTTCTTTAAAGGCGTCATGTTTTGATGCAGTACTTTGGTACATATTAGAAGAAACTACTCCACTAGTTAAACAATTTTAGCTGCAGTAGCTCAGATCATTTAAATATCCCTTCAATTATCTGATGATAATTGGGTTAATTTCCTCTTTCTGAATTGTCTTGAGATAAGTATAAAAAGCATTACTTTTTATAAAAGGCATTGCAAAAAATAAAACAAGTTTATTATCAAGTCCATGTCATGCTGTACTGTAGATAAAAGCTGACCTGAAGGTTAAACAATTAAACTAGAAGTTTTATTATACTAAAAAATAAGATGTTGTATTGTTCAAATGCAGAGGTACAGTATTCTATTTAAATGAACAACTTTGACACAAACACTTTAGATGAAGACACTGCTTTTTAATAATGCATGTGTAAGTTATAAATGTTCTTAAGGGAAAGGTTTAATTATAATAAAGCACAACCAAATTAAGCTTTTTAAAGTATTTTCGATGATGTCCAACACAGTGACCAAAACAACAGGATCACAGAACATTCAGTTCAAAGTCACATGTATATTATATATTTATGCATTAAGTTTGTAATAATCATCTGAATGTGAACCTGTAACGCTACCACCCTGTAGTCAAACTCATTAAAACGATCTCAAAAGATAAGCAAGTTTGGACCCGGTCAGTACTGGAATGGACACCTCCAGGACAACTTGATCACAGCTACAGTATTTATGGTGTTGGTGGATTAAAGATACTGTTCTGTAGTACGCGCTTTCTTTCAGATGAGATAATTTAACCAAGGTCTTGATTACATAGCTATTAAAGATTCCATGGCATTGTTTGTAATAGTAGGGGTATTATCCTCAGTGTCATGATTTAAATTCAATCTAGGCTTTACAATCTGAGTTCCTGTATTAAGTGGTTTCAAGTGTTGTAGTAGTAATTCAACTGGTGAAGAAGTTTCTCATTTCTCAATCCGCTAAGTAATGGGGCTGATCTGTCAGCTCTGGTGAATGCAGTAACTTCCTTTCCATACCGTATGCAAAAATGCTTTGAGATTCTTTAGGATTAAAAGCACTGGATAAATTTAAGGAATTGTATTTAAGTTTGTGTTAAAAATTGTATTTATAATTGTAGTTAAACATTTAGAGAATGACCTACTGTAATGTGTGTTAAACTCTGAGACATGTAATTCAAAGTAATAGGTGAAATAAGTAAACAGCCTTACATGTTTTCTTAGTACCAGACTTGCACCTCCTCGAATTGGTCAGGATGATTCTTCCAGATTCCGTCCACAGTTGGAAGTTCTCTACCCTTCTGTGTCTCTCCGTGATTGGAGTGTCCAGATGATGTCATCTCCAGGAATCTCTGACCCCCAGCCTAAATCCCTGCGCCTACCAGGAAGGGTTTGGCTTCCTTTCAGCCAATCAGAGATGGAATCCCTTGCTCAGGAGGAGGATCTCAACAAGAGCTGGCCTTTGCCTTGGTCCCAGCAGATGGCCAATGAGGAGAAGAGGAACATAGTGGTAGCAGATGATGCGGCATTTCGGGAAAAGAGTAAATTATTAACCGCTATGGAACGACAAAAGTGGCTCAATTCTTACATGCAGAAACTGCTTGTGGTCAATTCCCAGTGAGAAACTCCGGTTTAATAAAATTGATTGAAAATGTTCAGCTCTTATTCAGTTTGTGTGCAATGTCATTTAAAACTAATAAAGTGTACAATTTAGTTGCTTAATGACATTTTGCCACTTACTGTATGTGTACTTCCCTGTTTTGTGTAGGGGTCTTATATAATTGAGGTCAAAATTACAAGATAATCTGGTGATATTACTGAAGTATAAATAATAACTTCATCTGAATGTGTATCTCAAAAGAATATGGGTCAGAAAATCCTTCTTTAGAATTTCACTAGAAACTTTTCTCATAAACAATACTGTTTACCTTTATGTAATCACAGATGCATATACTGTATCATGAAACATATTCCCATGTTTTTACCCCCTTTCTCTTGTTACATAATGCGAACATCTTACATAATACGAATTGGCATGTTTTTCTGTGTCTCATCAAGTTCATCCTACTGTATATATTTTCAATGTTTTTGACTTGTGCTGTTTTTGGTCAAGTGCTCATGTGTAGTTACATGTGATGGAGAATAAGAATATGACTATAGCCTGCACAATTCACTGTAAGGAAAGTAATCTATTGCCTTAGAATGCTGAAACTGGCTCACTATCCAGACTTTCTTCACTAATAAAATGTCCAAACTAATAAAATCCTAGTTGCTTTCCCTATCAATATCTCTTTCACTAGGAGTATTTATTATCTTTTCAATTTGTTATCAAATAAATTGGTTTTCAATACAGATTTGTTACATATCTGTATTTTGGAATGAAACTGGCAAATAGTTTTTCACAGTAAAATCTTTTACATATTGTAATTATTTAGTTTGCATGTTTTACAGTTAGCCAATAAACATTTGTGTTAGCGATAGTAGAACTAGTGTGTCACTGAGATTATTTGCATGTTACCATGCAAATTAATAACACATAGAATAAACCAGAATGATTACTCAACAGTAAGAAATAAAATGTTCCTAATACAGTTTTGGATCCATCCATTTATAAACTACTTTATCCAGTGGTTTATTCAGGAGGAACCAGAGACTATACCACAGTGGGCAATAGGTGCAAGGCAGGGTACACCCTGGACAAGATGCCAGTTGATCACAGAGCACACCAGGTCCAATTTTCCCAGAAGGGAAAACCTTAACCTACTGTACCTATGTCTTTGGTTTGTGGGAGAGAATCAGAGTACCTGGTGAAAACCCCCACAAACTGGGTATCCACACAGATAACACCCCAGAAATTGAATCAGGGATCCCTGTGTTGCAAAGCAGCCATGCTATCCACTGCACCATGTGACCCTTGTAGTTCAGATACAAAATACAGATTAAAAAATATTTTGTTTCTAGAATTAAATTTGACTAACTTTTAAAATCATCTTTATAAGATGTGGATAATATCTAAAATATTGTCAGCTTAAAACTGGACTGGGGTGCATTTGTGTGAAGCTTGCATCCTCTTCTGTGTCCACATTATTACTCTAATTCTTCCATCTTCCATCATCAAGTTAATTGATGTCTCTAAATTGTTTATGTTGCCTACAATGGGCCAGCATTATGTCTAGGTTGCAGTCCTATATTTTACCTCTTTTTCCAGAAGGGTTATTACAGACAAACATCATCTTTTGAAATAATTGTTGATGTGTTGGTTGACTCTGTGATTGCACAATAGCAAATGGAGAATGTAGACAAAAAAAAAGCTTTACTACCACTCTCACTACATTAGAAAAAAGAGGGCATAAAACAAGAACCTGTTTTTTCAAACATTTCAAGATATTCAATAACGGGGGAAAAACTACAGGCGATTACAGTTGAGAAAGCAGTGAGAGAGCAAATAAACCAGGAATTCTTGATAAAGATATCAGTATAACATGCCTTAGTAGTAAAAAAAATACTTTGGCCTTGTTATCATTTTCTCTTTAGAAAAGTATCCTTTCTTTCCCACTCAGGTTACAAATGCACAAAATTTATCATAAGGTAAATGAAGGGGTCAGTTCTTCCACTGGAATTGAGTAGAATATTATTTTTGAAATTCCTCCAATGTTTCTGCCATTTAACAGTTAACTGTATTCTGCCATTTTACTTTTATACTGTAGATCTCAAAATTTTACATTTACCAATGTTACCACCTTCAACTAAAAAATGTACCATATTTCAGTGTTCAAACCAAGGTTTTCAGTGTTCAAAATAAATTGTTCTTAATTAATGCTTTAAGTTATAATACACAGCCCTGCTACATGAAAATTTAGCACTGTGACTAAAAAGATCATTGAAGTCTTAAATTCCAACAGGACATGTGTGCATTACAAGTTGGACATCAGAAATTCTAATCAAATATCATAGGTCTGTAGTGTGTCCCTGAGGTTGCAGGAGAGTGACCCGGTTGTGAAGAGAATATTAAAACATCCCTTTGTGTCCTGTGCCTGATTTGTAAAAGGAATTTTCTTTCTGCTTTCATAGCTGCAGTCTTCTAAAGAACAGCAGAGCGAATTATTTAACTCCTGCATATACCAGCATCACTGCAATCTACTGTAGATACTCCTGATGGAGCACAAATTGAATCCAGTTACATAAAAAGTAGTGCATATACTGTAGCTATGCATTTATGTATAATACTAAGTCATGTAAGTTATTCTTTTCACCATTCCTTTGAGATGCTTTGCCAAGGCTTTGCTGGATTCACTTTGTTATGAATAACTCAATAGTTTTGAATAACTTGAATATTGTCTGGGACTTACAAGGGCAGAGCGGTGGCACTGTGGGTAAGGATCTGTGCCTGTGGCTGGAAGGTTGCCAGTTCAAATCCTATGGCTAGCAGAAGAATTCTACTCCTTGGCCCCTGAACAAAGCCCTTAACCCCAGCTGCTATGGGGTAGCTGTATAAACAGCTGACACTATGCTCTGACCCCCAAGCTTCTCTCTTCCTGTTTGTGTGTCCCATAGACAGCAAGCTGGGGTATACAAAAAGACAAATTCCTAATGCAAGAAATTGTATATGGCTAATCTACTTTACTGTCATCAGCTTTTGAAAAGCTAACTGCCAATGAGAATGAGGGTTGTATTTGGTCAGATGTGTCACACCCGTGTCATGAAAAAGAGTGACCACTTTTTACAGCATCTTTGTAGTAGGAGATACTGTAGTTCAAGTAGGTAGCTGCGTCAGCATGCATAGGCTGCAAAGGAACAGGTAACGGGATTATTCTATGCTGAAAAGAAAAGAAAGGAAACACCTGAATTTGCTCCAGGGCTGAAACATTGTTTTTCCTTTCTTTTCAGCATGGAATAAACTCGTTACCTGATCCGATACGGTTCACTTGCACTTGGATTTTGAAACCCTTCCATCAGTATTGCAATCTTCCTGTGCTTGACAAGTGCTAACATACAAACAGCAGTATTGTCACCTATAAAAATAATTAATTTGGTTAATATCTGTCTTATAAAATATTATATATAATAAAAATATTATATATGAGATATTCAGTTGTTATCTGTCTTGTATATAAAATATACAAGTTAGTTGAATCTGATTTGCTATTTGTGCCCCTCCTTTCATTTTAGGTGCCAGAATGAATTGGCATGTTGTGCCCTCTAGGAATTTCATTCATATTGAAATAAGGCTTGAGAATGTTTACGAGCGCATTTTTTTTCTCTAAGTTTTGAGATGACAGGGTTAATTATAATTTTTGGTAGCATTCACACTGCAAAAATATACAAAAATGTTTTCTTCTTTGCTCCTTCATGATTTCATTTGTATTGGTATAAATTCATTTGTTGTTGATCTAACAATATGTATGATCTGTGAAATGATTAAAGGAAACTTTTGTATGCAGTTAATTGGCAGATAAAGTAAATCTGCCTGAATGCATTCATAAATCAATTGGCTCTTATCTACTGACAAATTTCTTTTTCCTGATAAACATGCTCACATCTGCTAGTCACTATACCATACAGCACAAAATGTTTGGAAATCTTCTATGAGTGTTGAATGTTGAACTCATAATTATAGAGCACACATTGATTAGTAACTAATCAGACTTTAATTGCTCTGGGGAAAGGGAACTACTCAGTGATTAGCATGCAAATTGCTGAGTCTTGGTTACAGTCAGAGAGTCACCTTCTCTAAACTCATTAAAATCCAGACTCAAAACCTTCTTCTTTAGAAAAGCCTTTACTTAACTGTTCCATTCTTCACCTCTCTGCTTTTCTTAGTACCACCATCCTCAGTCTCCTCTGTGTATCGTAATTGTTTTATCTTATGTATTATTTTTATTTATTGTTGTTGACATTCTGTAAAGCGCTTTGAGAAGCCACCTTTAAAGGCGCTATATAAAATAAAGTTCATTTATTATTATTACTTTCTGGCTTCAAGATAATTCTAATAGTTGTATAACCATCTATAAGGAGAGTTGCATTTTAAGGTTTGGATAACACAGTCAGGGTGTCAAATGGGAGGAGTAGTAGAGAGGAATGGGCACAGTAGAGATAACAAAGTCGGGGTGCAAATAGTTGCATCAGGGAAGCATGTGCCAAAGACTGAGCTCTTAGAACAGGCACAAAATAGCAGGATTGTACAGTAACAGCTATTTACATTGGTAGAATGTTTTTTTTTTCTGCCCCTTTTCTTTTTACTGGTTGATATAAGTATATTGTGAAAGCTCACACCTGAAGAAGGCTCCACAGCAGAAACAATGTGTTTTCTTTCTTCTCTTTTCAGCATGGAATAAACCTATTACTTGTTCCTCAGCAGCCTATGCATGCTGGTGCAGCTACCCACCATAATTATATTATATCAGTTATATATTATATCATTGTATTGATAGTTTTATAATTATTTGGCTTCACTGCAATTGTTTGAAAAAGTTGTTGGAAATATGCGTGAACAACAAAGTTTCACTTGTGGCGTGTAGCACCCATTTCATCTTAACTTTTCTGATGTAGCACTCGAGGGAATGTATTGTGCTTAGTGGTGCATTGTCTCCTCACAGTAAGGGGGAGAGAAACTGGGTGTGGGCTTTTATTTTCACTCTCCGTCTTCAATACACATTCCCAATAGTCACTGATGTAGTTTTAGTTTAGGAACTTTAACTCCACAGGATGAGTTCTTGGCACAATCTTCATCTCCTGGTTACTAATGCCGCTTAACATAAGGCAAATGTTACAGAACTCCACAAATTCATTCAAATTACTTGAAAGTTTAGCTTTAATCTAGACTATTAAATATGAAGGTTTTAAGGTCACTATGTCTAATATATTTGTATAATTAAAATCTTAAATAAATACTAATAATAATTAAATAGAATTAATACTGTTGATCCCGAGATGAAGTAAAACAGATGAGTTTATTGCATGCAAGGAACAATAAAGCCGAAGTCTTGTTTCCTGCAAAAAACAACAAAACCGAAGTATTGTTCCCTGTACCGGTACAAACTTTTGGGTTATATAATATCTTCTTCTCCGTTTCTGATGTCACTCGGTCTGATGGTAAAGAGGGGGGTTCATGGTATTTGGACAGTTTATGAGGTCAGTTTAAGATTCCACTGTCCAATCCTGCCTTCACTGGCTAATCGCTTTTTGCAGTTCTTTTGCCAATGTCCAAAATTTTTACAATAATGGCACCGATTTGTAATTTCGCCTTTTGGACTTAGTCGGGTGTCAGG